GTTTATCAAGCTTCAAGTGTAGAAAGTGCTCGAGTATAATGTGCTTTGAATCTCGTGAATATTCTAAAATGTCGAAAAATAATAAATATCGTTGAAAAGGAAAATGAGTATTACATGAAAATAACTATTTGCGTCGCCAAAAATTAAAAAGTATCAACAATAACCTCTCCTATTCAAATGACAGATGTCACAAATGTTTACTGTGAATGTTGTCAAGTCGCAGATGAAATGGTTTATGTCGCGTAATATTCGTATTTTGCTGCAGTTTTATTTAAATAACTTTTAAACAAGTAAGTGGATCCAAATTAACTTTTGCACAAATATATATTAGAGTCATATTAGTATATATATACAAAATTTGATTTAATTCTTAATGCTACTTTCTCATCAAATTTGCAAATAAGTACTCCAAGACGTGATTTTATATAAGAATCAAGAGTAAATAAAAAATTTAATAACTTTTAAACTAATAAAAGAATTGCGCTTAAATTTTGCACAGTTGCTCAGATGATATTAACGGAACAATCTGTAAAATTTTTATATTTTTCGTTTAATGTTTTGAGATACATCATTACATCCTTAATGTCTAGAAAAAGCGTGTAAATTTGCAAATTAATCGGTCCATTTTTGAGATATAATGATCACGCGTTTTAAAAACCATATTTCGAGAAAAAAGCGTTTAAAGTTTTATATTCAGATTACACTACACTAATATTAAAAATTTTACTTACATTGAATCATCTACTCTAGGGCCATAAAGCAAACTCTCTGCTGAAGTGGAAGCTTCCAAAAAATTGCTTTACGATCCGATCGCAGACATGACGCAACAGATCAGATGTTTGATGCGCTCAGCGCGCTCGAACCTACTCGACTATAATTTCGTGTAACTTTTTCATCTTTTGTCGGATCGACTTAAAACTTTACAAAAACATGTTTAAGACATCATACTTTCAAAATATGTATTTAAAAAAAATCTTTTTGACCTCTCTAGGTGTATATGTCCCCTTAAGTTGTGATGCTACATACATATGTCGGACGTGTAGATTATTAAAGTGCAGAATTGACGATTTGACAAAAATGATATAAAAAGAAATAGTTCTAAAATATCAATAATTACACAACATTATTTAAAATTTGTTCATGAATTTGATTGGGATAATGTGAGAATACTGGATGAAGAAATTATTTTTAATTACCATTTAACATGAGATGATACATATAAAGAGACAATGTAACGCTTTAAATCTACAAAGCGACACCGATCTCCTTGACTCTATTTACTTCGATTCGATTCGTTGATCGTGCTATAAATTCTCTAAAAATTCCCAGTGGTCATGCTATTCCAATTGTTTTATGTCATACCACCTTGTACATAAAGTTAGATATAGGGAATCTTTACATTTTAACTCAGTTTCAAACGTCACATTATCATACAAGTTTTATCCATTTACTATTTAACTTCGATGGCGTGATTTCTCTTTATTCTTTCTTTGTGTAAATTTTGTATTTTTTAAATTTATTGCATTATTTAACTTGACAATATTATAATAATTAATTTCTTTGGACCACAGTAAACTAAAAAATTTTTAACGTATGACGCATATAACTGACGAGAACCATAATAAAGGATTATAACCAAGTCCGTTTGAAATTCATTATAATTTAGAAATTCTATTGTTACGCTGAAGAGGATCCAGATTGGAATCGAAACGTTTGTATTTTTTAATTGTATCAATATACTCACACAAAAATTTGTGCTTACAATTAATTTGTATACACATTAATTAATAGCGGTGGCTCGCATAGGCACTCACATATGTTTATTGATTTATTGATTTATTCGTTGAAGCCATTTTATGTTTATTTTAATTTATATTAGCATTAAAAATTTTCAAGAAGAAAAGTTTTGCAGTTACATGGCCAACGATCAATAGATCAATGGAAGGAAAAAAAGTCTTACAATCAGTCTCAAAAGTTATTTTTCACGAGAAGTTTTATTTTCTTAGATTTTAAGGTTAACTTATTTTAAATACAACAGAATAAATTAGATTCAAGACATTAAAGATTCAAAAGTACATTTTTCGTAACTTATTGTGTAAATTTTTATGTAATCTCGAGTCTTTGATTTCAAATTCTTTATGAGAGAATTTTATTAAGAGTGAAATATACGAGTATTGCTTTTTAAAAAGAAGAATCTTGTTGTGTTACAATGAATAGAATAATAGAAGAAGAAGCTGCATCTCAAAAATGAAGTTTTCACGAGAAGCTGTATTTTTCTTGTTTTAAAATAATAACATAAATTAGATTATCATATCTAATAGATTTCAAATTTATACTTAATCATGTATGGCGTAAATTAAATTTTTATAGTTTTGAATCTTCGCTTTTGAATTCTTCATTAGAGAATTCTTTATTAAATTTTGAATTGAAATTCTTCATTAAATTCTTCATTAAATGACGTGACATAAGTGTGGAACATTTTGCGTGTCTTTTTAGAAAGATGAGTCTTGTCTTGTCATCTGTTGTAACAATGAATAGAAGAAACTGCCACGTCTTAGAAGTAAATTGTTTATCAGAAGTATTATTTTCTTATTTTTAGATACACAATAGAAAACAAATTAGATTATTAGATATGTATTAAATATTTATAATTTAAAATCATTTCACCTATATAATTTATTGCATAAATTGAACTTGTAAGGTAAAATTATTCTGGATTACCTAAAAGGAAAAATTAATATTTTTATCCAAAAAGATATCAAAGAAGCAATAACATATTTAGTAATTATAATTAATCATAAAGAATATTTTATGGATGATTTCATTCAATTTCAGATTTTATGTTTCAATTTTAATTGAATGAAATAATGAAAATTATCCACAATTATACTTCTGATTGTGAGTTTAATTACGGATCGACTATCCGCGAAACATATTTAACTTTAACTGAGCATGATTAATTTTTTTCTTTGTGATTTATTATAAATAGAATGAAATGAGAATATTACTCTCCGAGATGATAAATCAAATTAAAAATAGTAATAGAATGCCCTTTGGAACAAACGCAGTTGTGTGGTATAAATAATATTTGTTTATTTATTATTGTATAACTTATGAGAACAAGAAATTTATTATATTTTATAAACTAATTATTATCTAGCCATTTAGCTGTTTATTATCTTCTGTAAAAGTATTTATTTTTATAGATATTGAACGTAAGACAATTCTTATAGATATTGAACTTTGAATTTTTAAAGATACAAATTGACGTCTTACATATTTTATTATTTATATAATAGTTTACTTATATAGATATCAATAAAATATGTAACGTTATTGATAGTAAACGAGAAACAATTGATGATTAAACATTTAGACAAATGCTAAAGAATCTTGAGGTATATGCGTCATTCGATGAAAAATATAATAATTATTTAAATATAATAATATGAATAATATATGTATAATCTATATAATATAATATAAATTATAAATTATTCGAAAGTGCCTACACGATCCACATTTAGTGTCCTTACCCTATAGTTCTATAAATCTTCGATTTCGAACATAGTTAGTTATAATTAAATGTTCAGATGTCACACTTAAGTTATAATTTAAATATTTACATACTTCTTGTTTACACACAAGTTAAGCTAAGCTTGCCTTAAATATGAGCCAACGTGCTCCATCCTTACATACATTTTCGATTCCAATATAATACAAGTGTGGAATATATGTTGCTTGTCTTTTCGAGAAGAACATAAGTCTTGTTGTCACATTAAGTAGAGCAACAGAGAAAGACTGTCGCATCTCAAAAATTAACCTTTGATGAAAAATTTTATTTTTTTTATTTGAAGAGAAAAAATAAATTAAATTAGTATAAATACATTCAAAACCAAGTCTTACATAATTCATTGCGTAAACTAAATTGATATATAGTGTATATAATTTTAATATTATAATTATAGTTACATAATAATATACATAGCTCTATAGTGATAATACAGTGTACGTAGTTCTGAATCTTCAATTTCGAATTCGTTATTAGAGAATCCTTCATTAAATCGTGACCTGATGACATAAGTGTGGAACATATATCGCGTGTCCTTTCGAAAAGAAGAGCCTGTCGTCGTGCGGCAATGAATCGCCGGGGGGAGGAGGGAGCGCGGAGGAAGGCGAGAGGGGTGGACGAGAGAGCAGAAGAATCTAATTGAGGGGTCGATCGCACGCGACACGTCCGCCGTGTCGACGCCGCGAATGGAGGGTCGATTATTGCCGTGACACCCGGTACACACGTAGCACTCTCGCGTGCAGTTTCCATCCCGTATGTACGTTACGTTGTACAAGTTTCGCGATAACGTGCCGTAACTATAAGATATAACTTTCGACGTAGTTTCCTGTGTCCCAACACGTACGAGCGCGTCCCCCGTACGTGTGTGCGCGGCAGGGGGGGGGGGAGGGAGAGGCGGATAGTAGAGGGTTGAAATGTGTACACAAACACACACACATACACGCATATGCTGTGCCAACAATATCGCGTGGCAGCCGGTTAACGAGGCTGCTGCGGCTACATGAGACACGATCTTACCGGACGACACAGGACGTGTGCTTCCAGTTTTGTAATTAGCGCCGATACATATTTGCATTACCGCGACGCCTTTCTCACCCCC